AGATGATAACTTTTACAAGGTTCTACAAAGTGAAACAAGGACCACAACTCTATAAGTACATGTAATTAATGGAAATTACTGAATTTCAACGGGTGTCTCTGTTTCATTAATTTAAATGATGTACATAAATTTCATACAGATCGGTTGATAACTTTTGGTCTAGAGGGTTAACTATATGAGCTTGTCATTTGAATAAATGTCTAATTAATAATTTATATAACATTTGAACCTAACAGAAAGACCTGCAATTGGCAGATTTAGCTCTTATATAATGCATCTTTAAATAAAATAATAAATACATTACATAAGGCATCTTTAAATAAAATAATAATGATATGATGCATGTATACAGTATGGCCTACATGTACATGTTCCTGTAAATGTGACCGGCCGCATCTAAATGAGTCGGAATGCGGGAGAATCAATAATGAGATAAAGACAAAATAAGTGAAAATATTGATTTTGAACGAAATTGAGATTTTCACAAAAATGAGTCTATAAATACATGTATATACTATCTATCGACACAGAAGATCAAAATAGCAATAAAACATTTTAAAACACCTGTATTTGAACGTTTTGTAAGAGTACCCTATTCTTAAATCTGTCCTATTTCTTAAAATTCTCGGTGAAATTAGTTATTTTTCTTCGCTCGCAGTGGGACGACCGGTCATTCCTCTTGCATAATAATTGGCATCGTTGTAAAGCGGAGCATCTCTAGGTTATAAATATGATCAAAATATTGTCGGTGAATTGATTTTGAACGGATACGATCGAGTTTTAAAACACTCCAAAAATATAAATAAACTCCGCCTGTTGCCATGCTGTCAAACAACTCCTTTGCTGATTGGCCCAGACACCGCATGCAAGACATTATCGATAAATATTTGGTTTTGGCAATGTTTTTGGGCACCTACATGCGATTCACTCTGATAAGTGGCAGAAAAAAAATTAATTCTGATCGTATAGATTGCCGTTGAGTGTTAATCGAAACCACGCGACTGATGATGTAAATTAATCGACAAGCGGGTGTGTGTCATTGAGTAATACTATTACTAATCAACTGTCACGGGTCAATGATAAAGTCGTCGACAACTCATTATTTACTCCGAATAATTAATCCAAGTGGTGATTGTTTGATATCTCATATCATCTTAAAAAAAATAATCTATAGGCCTTAAATGGAAATAAACAAAATGGCCAATAATGTTCTTTTTGAAGAGAATTTTATTGATAGCTAAATTCCGTTTACCGTCGCTTCTTCATACGGCATGCAAAGTAAGGAATGCATTTGGGATATTATTGTTTAAAATTCTCGTATTACAATGGGTCGAAAAAATGAGAACGACTAACGAGCCAAAATGCGACGATTCTCGAGTCTGCCATTGAGTATCCTCTGAATAATGTTGATATTTACATCAAAGCCAAAATGCACGAAAGTGAACGTAAGCATTGACTATGAAATTGACATTCCTATAGGGACTCATATTTTGATAACGTCACAGTACCTGAAAATAATAATTGACCTATCGTACACGCAAAATCTTATTTTAATTCACGTGTTAAATGAACACGCGTACAGCTGTTGCGGCTTCTTTGATGATTATCCAATCAACAATCTTAATCTCCTGACCACTAGCTGGTACTAAGGTGCTAATTAATTGATGAGATTAAGATTAAGTTAATCTCACTAAAGTTATATAACAGAGAGAGAGAGAGAGAGAAATGGGGTTTAACGTCCACTCGACACAAACTAGGTCATTTCGGGACCAACATGGGGTTTAATTTTATTTCAATAATTCGTTTGCGCGTAGGGGTCTTTAGCAGTGGGGGGAAACCGGAGGACCCGGAGAAAACCCACGAGGTTGGACAGGCGACCCTACTCCTTGTCACGTATACACAACAGACTACTAATGTGTAGATTGTTCTTCAGTATAACACTATCATGTGAATAATACACCGTATGTGTTGTGGATGTTTCGTTACGAAAGGTGTGCATTTATTACGATTTTCTTCTCGTCAGCTCCCTTGAAATTCTAAATAAAAAACATATTAAATGACAAAATATAGCAAACAAATTGCGGAAATAGTCGGATCAAATTTTTACTACGATTTTCGTCTTCAGCACCCCTGAAAACCCATGGAAAGATATATTCAACGACAAAACAGCAGATAAATGGCCTGGTTGCTATGTCATTTTGTTTTTGAACATACCAAATCTTTGACTTGCTTTTTCTCAAAACCTACTTTTGTGAGTTGGGTAGCTTCTAACGGACATAGCTCAGTCAATTTTTGCCCAATTCAGACAAACGATACATCAAATTGAAGGTAATGAGTTGGAGAATGTAACAATAACTCAATTTTCAAAATTTCCTCATTGTGACTCAGTATGCTGTAGGGGGTCACAAATAATGTTTATTGTCTAAAATGTGTATGTATATTAAAAAAGAAAAAAAACTCCACATACAATCAAAAGTACAGTTGGAAATATTCTGATAATATATTGTTCATTTTTATCTTTATCCTGTGTCTACACAACATGTAGCTACATTTTAGTTGTTAGAAATGAGTGATTAGAATGCACCATAAGAATCTGTCCGATAGAGTGATGTTATCTATACATGCTAGGAATTGAATCATGGCATCATTTTGAACTTCAGCTTATGAGTCACTCTACATGTAAATCTATCATGATTAATCAGGGTTTCCAGTCAGATTTTCAATTTACTTTAAAAGATATAAATGATTCTGATTTAAACCCCTGAATTAATCTTACATGGAAATACTTTTTTTTCTTATTTGATTGATATGCCTGTTTTAGCGTATCGTATAGATTCTTGATTAAATATTATACATGTATTAATCATAAACAGAGAAAATCATAAACAGAGAAAATCATCGGAAATGTCTGACTGCTGACTCTTCCAAACCTCGATAATTTTTCTTTTACTTAGTTATAGAATTACACTTTTACTTCTAAAAATACTATTATAAGTTGGTATATTCTTTTCTTTAATAAATTTGTGTTTAGTGTAACTGGCTGTTGGTGCACCATTCACCTTGACATTTAACACTGAAAACAAATTCCAAGTTATTTTGTCTGGACCAATATTCCTTGGAGTTGAAGCAGATACATTTTGGACTGAATGATCAAGATTACAGACCACTGGAAAAAACAAGTGTCTTGATACAAGAATCTTTGTAACATATTTAAATGGTAATACTAATTTTAAAATAACATTCTCATGTGTACCAGTTTTCATAGTAAATAAAACTGGTCAATTTCAATCTTTTTCAGTGTTATTGGCTGCTGTAACTTTTTAAGTGAAGGATAACTTGGCAGCAGGTATCAAATTCAAATGGACACAAATAGGACAATCTATTACTGAACTTATTATCAAATATAATGAAATCAAAGATATAACATGCGTGAATATTTTCAAATGGGTTTAGACCCTAATTATGCTGGCCTATGGTTGTAATATATTTTTTCCTACACCTGATATTTTTGTTTTTATGTTTGAAAAAAAAAAAAAATTAATAAGATATTAAAAGATATATATTGTCAGGCAATGAAACATATGCACAAAGCAGCTCAGTTGTCCAAGCCATCCACAAGGGGTTGTTGCATATTTTTCATTTGTCGGTACATGTACATTGTAATAATGGGAGCTTTTAATGACACAATCAAAACTTTTTCAAGGGTAACAACCCATTATCAGAAATAATTTAAATTTAAATCTCAATACTTTGTAAAACTAACCAACCCATTACCCGCCGTTTTGTCTATGGTAATCCTGTCAATCACTATCCGCAAGAGAACAGTCAGAAGACTGGCTTAGCTCAACTAATTTCATGTGACCCATTTTGCGCATAAAAATGCCTGTATTTGGTGTTAGATTGTTGTTTAGGATTGCAGACAGTGATCTATTTTTAATGCACTTACAACTTATTAAATACAGTATGACAGTTTATTTAGTGATGACAAATCCGGGAAACTGATCATGTAAGGCTTGTCGTTATATACAAATATTGTGGCATAATTATCGATATATTTGAAGATGTTGTTATTTTACATGTATATATAGCACCCTATACATGCACATGATCCCTATAATTTGCTATAAAACAAACATTGGTTTGATGCTGTAAAAATTTGTAGTTTTAATTTTCCTGAAAATGCTTACACAGCCTAAAATATAAATCTTATATTATGAAGAAATTAGTACCTACCCAAATATGAAACAATGTGTTACCGAGCAGAGAGCAGAAGATGAAAATAAAATCTAGATCTACCCAAGCTAATTAATGGATCTTCTTACCTTTTCTAAATATACCAATAAATAGGCTACATCCTAGTAAGTACCGGTAGCCTACTAGCAAATACATGTAAAATGAAAACAAGCCAACAATATGGGGCGTATTTACTTTCAAAAATATTAATTTAGTGTTACCTACTTACATAAATTGTCTCAATTTTTATCACATGAAAAAACATTAATTAATTTAATTATCAGGTACTAAAAACTTAGGCTACTTAAAATGCATCATTCGGTAATTCAAAAATAGTCAGTAAAATTAGGATTTCAAGCTAGTGGTTAACCTATTTTCCATTTTATTGACTAAATTATGATTTAGATCATATGTTTCAAAATTTAGCATGCATAGCTTTACCATAATCACTAAGGAGTAAAATAGGGTTGCTCTGCCATTCCTTGAGCAGCAAGTGAGCTGAAGATTTTTTTTTTGTAAACAACGACTGAATTTTCTCTGTCCCCCATAGTACATCTATACTACACGTTTTATTGAGTCGTAGGCGAAACCAAAGACGAAAATGACAATGAATTCCGCTTTTCAATTTTTATAAAACTGTCTCGTCGTTCTCAGAGACACTCTCACTCTCAGTCTCACTCTCAGTCAAATCCAGTAGATATATTTTCTTGATTAATTTTATACTTTTTTTAGTCGTTTTGACTTAAGCTAACACTACCCTTACTTACTTTCAACGAGTAATATTTCCGTTTCAAGACTTGTTTAAAGTGAAATCCACCTCGAATAGCAAAAACAAAGCATGTTTACAAAACATAACAACACTGTCTTCTGTCAGTCGACAATGCGTGGAATCTTGTGAAATCACCAAACACTGAAAGCTTACAGATCGTCGTCTGCATCCGGAACTACGTTGGGCATGCGCTTTAGCGGACACCTGCAATTCCAATTCCATAGAGAAGACCGTTATAATAGTACAGAAGTAGATCCAAATAAGTATTCCCTGGTTTGTGTACTGGCGGGGCGTATGAAAAGGTCATATAGAAAAAGTGTAGGTGTACAATTTTGTGGGGGTATATAGAATGTTATAGAATACCGGTAGCCCACTACTTCAAGTACTTGTACTACTACTAGACACAAGGAGGAAAAGAATTTAATTATTAGCATTGCCAACGGGTTTTCAGATACAAACAATGGCTCACACAAATGACAATGATACTATTGTGAACTATCTAGAATGAATAATCTGAAAAAATTTTGAAAAAATATTGAAAATTAAAAAAGTTATAGTGTTTTAAAGAAGGCAAACCAGAGGCACTATAAAACGGCTTTTTTTTAAAAAAAAAAAACGCAAAAAACTGATCGAAGCCAATATCTCAGTAACTTTACAATTAGATAGGTCTATGAAAATTGCACTAATTAAAGATCTAGATGTACTTGATAAAGCCAAATTGTCGCTATAATATTCTAGTATATACTTTTTATGTTACAAAGGTTCAAAGTTGGGATCCGTGCGGATTTCGCACAAATCACAGCAAAAAAATGGACAAATTTGTGTGTACCGGTACTTAAATTGTAGCGCTTTGACATTAATACAGAGGCTTATTTTTGAATTAATAAGCACACATAAAAGTGTTTTCATTTGAATGAATAAGCACACATAAAAGTGTTTTCAGTCTGTTCTATTATTTATTTTTTACATGACAACACCTTAAATCACAATTTTTGACCATTTGATGTCAATGTCGAAGAGAAACAAGTTTATGTATGTAATTGGCCACCTACTGGTCCCGAGGCCATTGACCACTGGCCAGTCACAGTCATGAAACAATTATAAACCGGTTATACTAACTTATACTGTGGATATTTTAAAAAATTATCGAAAGTTTGTGGCAAAATGAGAAATAAACCTGTAAGCTTTTGGCAGAATTGCCGCATTTGCCACACCAACTGCTTTAGTTGTTTATAAGCTGCCATGTACATCAATTTGAGATTGTTGGTTTCAGGAATGAAAATTAACAATTAAACTATGATTTATATAACAGCTATATTTTTGTGATCAACATCACTACAATTTCAAATAAAAACAGTAACATAGACATAATTAATAGAGTCCAAATGATCCTAAACAATGAGTATCATGATCACTTCAATTGTCTGATAAATATGCAAAATGATAAAAACATAATGTACTGTGCTAAATAACAAATTAAAAGGTAAGCTTATAAAAAGTAAGATATGATCTACATGAAAGAGTATTAAAAAAAATTCATTTGTGATACATGTGCATTACGATATACTATATTATAATATCAGTGGTAGAAGTCTAGCTTTCTAGTTGAGACATTATCCCATGAAAATAAAAACAATATAAAAATTCACATCATGATACATTATTCATATGTTACTTTTCAATATGAAATTAAAAATTGTTCACCCACCGGTTTAAAATAAAATGATAAAAAAAAGAAACCATTATCACATTTATCAAAAAATATAAGATTTCTAATACATGTATCTTCTTACAAAAACAAACAATAATAACAATATAAAATAATCACATTATACATATGCGTTATTTTTCAAAATAAACAAAAACATTTGAACACCAGGCCACATTCAATGTAATACAAAAAAACCTGTCCAAATCTAACATCATTTTTTTTACACTGAAGTCTGTGGGATTTTTAATTATGGTCTGACCCCTGATCAACCACGAGTTACCTCCCTTTAATTTCACATGGTTCCATTTCATCCTACGGGGGATACGGACTTAACAAACGCTCAAACTAAGTAGTTAATGAATTTGGCTTTCCAGATATACCAAAATCTTGAGCGTCGAGGGCCTTTTTCGAAACTTTCTCTCAACTTCAAATTTTCAATTCATGAAAAATATCAGAAAATCTTACCTCATCTTCACAAAATCCTACTCGACAGCAAGTTCATCTATTTTTTTCAATGGTAAACATCATGTGGTCAATGTTTGACACTCTGAATATTCATGAGAAGGCGTAACATCAACTTTTTGTGATGTCTGTAAATAGTACAGCCAGCGCTCCTAGCGGCATTTAGCATCGCTAATTTAATCTATAGTCTATAGATTTTTTAAATAGCGATGCTGAGTTTTGAAATACACAAAATGTCTCTAAAATGATGATTTCACTGCAAGTGTCAACTATTTTGATTTGATAATCTGTAAAAATTTTGAGATCTGTTGGCATTTTTAAGATCGCGAATTGGAGACACTAAATTGCGTTTTAAAAACGCAAAAAAACTGACCGCAGCTAATATTAATATCTCAGAGATTATAAAAGGTAGATCTATGAAACTTGCAGAAATTGAAGTTCAAGATCTACCTGAACGAATCAATGCCTGTAAAAAAGAAATTGTTTGGTTCAAAGCAATATATTCCCTTTCCTTTTCAGATTATTGTTATTTTTGGAGTCACAATAAAAGAGTGCTGCATTGAATAAACATATAGTTTGATTGCCTTCTAAGTTCTAAGTACAGATTAAAATACTTTCTGGGGATATATTTTTCTCAAAAATAATTTGTAACCAGTAATATGATATTAAAAATAAAAATATTGATATCGACATTATGCAAAAATCATCTAAATTCTTCAAACTTACGTCGCATAGGCCTAAATAAGAATGAAAATGTAGACGAAAAATCCATTGTGGTCTGATCCCAGATATGGTCCTACAAAGAGTTGTCTTCCCTTGACTCCTCCCCGGCTTCACTTTCTGCCATATTACAGATTCCTACGGGGGATATTGACTTAACAAACGGTCAAAAAAATAGTAGTTAATGAAATGGGTCTTCCAAATGTACCAAAATCTTGAGCCTCGAGGGCCTTTTTTCGAAAACTTCTATTTACTTCAAAATTTCAATAAATGAAAAATATCAGAAAATCTTACCTGAGCGCAACAAAATTCAGCTTGACACCAAGTTTGTCTATTTTTCTCTATACAAAACATCACATGGTCAATGTTTGACACTTTGAATATTCATGAGAAGGCGTAACACGACATATACTTTTCTCGGTCAGCTTTTTGTGATGTCTGAAAATAGTACACCCAGTGCCTCTAGCGGCGTTTAGCATCGCTATTTTAATACATATGAAATTATTTACTATTTCTATGATGATGTGATGCCGAGATTTTGTTGAGTTGTTCCAAGTTGAATTTCCTGCAATGATTAAAATCCGCAAAATAAAACGCAGGCGGCTGGCACACTCAAATTAACCATTAATTAGCTCAACCTCTAACTCAATATCTTCCATAATATTCGAAATTAAAAACATAAATTAGAATTCAATGTTAGTTCATTTCAATCAATATTGAAGTTGTTATCTTGCTGTGAAAATTTGATATCCTAATATTCGATATTTAAGACACAATGAACATTTTATCATCAGTACACGGGTCGCGTATTCTAATAATTCTATGGTTTCGCACACCTTTTATAATGAACAAAGAAAAACATCCTACAAGACATAGCGAAAGTAATTACTAATGTCTGATTCACAAACGACAAAATAATAACTAGAACTGTGATGCAGTAATGACGGGTTTCACCGGTGCCACGTTACCCTAAACATATGTCACTTCCGGTACCAATGAAACCATTAAACAGGTTTCCACATAAGCATTGCACACATCAAATAAAATGGACGCTGAATCAACCAAATCCAGCACTATCAATTCATTTTATACATTTGTTACATTTAAGTGTACAGTACTTCCGTTGATAATGAAAATGTTCAATTAGTTTTATGAAATCAGAAATGGCATAAGGCATCACATGGTGAAAATTTTATGTAAATCAAATAATAATTGCCACGTTTATAGACCAAAAACTTGGAAAATGGACTTGTAGAAAATCGTCTATTTCTCTGCAACCACACAAGTTAGAAACCATTTTCTGGTATCTGTATGATCGTATGGGTTTAATCTATTTGTTGATTGGAATTTTAAAAACAATACAAATCAGACTCATTTGAATAAAATACCTGTTTTGAAGGCTAAAAATACAGTTTCTGCCAAAATGACGTTACTTCCGGTTATAATGGAAATCTTAGATTACTTGTATGAAATCGTAAATGGCATTAGGTATCACACAGTGAAAATTTTATGAAAATCGAATAATAATTGACACTTTTATGGACCAAAAACCTTGAAAAGTGACCTGTTAAAAATCGTCTGTTTCTCCGCAACTGAACAAGTTAGAAACAATTTTGTGAAATCTATATGACCGTATGAATTTTTATTAATATGTGAATGTAAACCAAAAGTTAAAATTATTAATACATATTAAATAATTCTTGGTTGAAAAAAATATTGATTTTAAAAGTTAAAAATGCATTTTTTGACAAAATGGCGTCACTTTCGGTGTCAATTTTAAATTGTAATCAATTTGATACGAGGCATACTTGCTTTTTGAATCAAATGGTGTCACTTTTGTGAAAATCCAAAAATAATTGACTATTTTACAGGCAAAATAACGAAAACAGTGACTTATGCAAAATTGCCCATTTTTAGGTAACTGCTTATATAACAAACTAATTTTAACATACATTTTCTTCGTATGGATTATAGCTACAAGTTTATAAAAGTTACGTAAAAATATTTTAAAATCTGAAAAGCCTGAATGGGTTGTAAATAGGTCAATTTTACACCTTTTTTCACCTCTTAATCGAATTTGCTCGAAAATGAAATCGAAATTAAAAAAACTGAGCTCACACTTTTTTGCGCCGTTAAAGGGCACACTCTTTTAGTTATATCAGTTTTTAAAAAAAATAATATTTGCTTTCGAAAAATGGTACCTAACTGTCAATGTGGTTTTTACTGCGAGCACT